TTGTAAATCCACCACTAGCTTACCATTATAGTAAGCCGCAACACTTGCTCCAACTTCACCTCCAGTTTCAAAATTTTTTATAAATGCTTTTTTTGCATCAATAAATTCTGGTGCTACATATCCTTGCACTTCTATATCAATACACCCTATTCTTAATAATCGACATGGTAGTGGCGCAAAAGGACCAAAAGTTAAAAATTTATAGATTATTATGGAAATAATGAAAATCAATACACTGATCGGAAAAAAATATGATCTAGTGTTAGTAGAGGGATATGCTTCGAATTCTTTTTTACGATATGTGGATTTTTCGTTTTTCATCGTTATAATTATTTTATCCTTATTTTGTGAAAAAGTGTCATTTTATATAAAATTTTGAACTACGGACAATGCCAAAATTACGAATATTATTGAATAAGATTTTCAATTTTATCCAATAATTTTCAAACCATGTTACAAGGGATGGATTTTTTTGTTTCAAATAATAAAAGATAATAAATTAAGATCATCTATTTTAGAATATCGACATTAGAATAAACACAACAGTTCTGAATATACTAAAATTAAAAAGATCTATAGTCAATTCTCCGTATGTACATTCTATAAGTGCACGACACTTGAACAAAATTTACGTTCGCATTAAGATATTGCGCTTATAGTATTTATTAAACATAGTGTTATAGTTAATAAGTGTACTTCCTTGACGGATATACTTACAGAGAGTCGACTGTATTACAGTATTTGCGCGTAATAATGCACATGGGCGAAAATAATGCGCAATTACCAATACGAACATAATTGGATTGGCATATAACTTAATGCTATATATTTGTTCTACAAAATCTATTATATTCGGGAATAAAATGATTGCACGTATGCGTCCAGAGATAACGAGCAGGTGTTCAAAATAACGCGTTATTACACACTTATACAGTTAATTCAGCTATCTGATATCGATATGTCATTACTTCACAAAGTTTGAAACCAGAAAATGTGTACCGGTTGGTGTTCTGATGATCATGTAAAAATCCGAGAATAGTCAATCACAGAAAATCACTTTATGATCTCATTTCATAGACAATCAATTCTTAGGGTTGTCGTTCAATTCCCCGAAAGTTATTTCCCTACAGGCCACTTATCAGACATCACATAGGGTTAGGGTTAGCATTTGATTAGTTGCAGGTATTATATTTTTAGCAAATTGTCACCCTGAATGATGTCGAGTAGGGAAAAAACTTTCGGGGAATCGTGTGGCCATTCATCATAGACAAAAGTTTATTTTAAGGACAATTAATTTACAGACAATTCATTTCATAGACAGTTCATTTTATAGACAATCTTTAACAGCAAATAACTCCGAATCAGCGTTAAAGATTGTCTGTAAAATGAGCGATCTATGAAATAAACTGTTTGTAAATTAATTTTCTTTAAATAAACTTGCTTATGAATCGGTTGTTTGATTACCTGTGATATGTAATCGACAAATGATCATTGCTGATTAATTAAAAGAAACCAATTAGAGTTAGTAATATTTGTAAAATAGAATCTTTTTCTTTTATTAATTTATTCTGCTTCTTATTTCACTTTCAATTTCACACCTATTTCGTATTTCATTGCTTTTTTAATTTGTATTATACAGTACATCTGCGCACATCAATATGTAAATATGGAAAACAGCGAGTCAGTCGCTTCACAATCCGAGACGTCGTGTAACCTACGATCGGCTTAGTCGAACAGAGGCGTTTAAATTTGGCGAGGGTTATATGAGTCATAGGTATAGCTTCTTAGACGTATATTGGTAGCTCGATTACACTCGATAACACTTCTATTCTTTATTCGCTTAACAACACAGCAAAGCCACAACTTGGACCTTCCACTTGAACTTCAACCCGGAATACCACAAACTGTCCACGGTACGTTGGGAGAGTACCACGGTAGTTCTCAGTACGTCGAGAATCAACCGGACAGAGTTTCGGTACACCTTATGATTATCACGTGAACAAGAAAAACAAGAGCACGGACAGTAAATACTTACATTATTAAATGACAAAATTTTTATCACAAAAACATCAATTATTCTATTTTATTCTGATAATAAATTTAATTAGATTAGCACATGATACTGTATTTAATTTTGGCGGCTGCTATACGTACTCCCCAAATTTGCTATTCGTACCCCTATAAATTAATTTTTTTTAAAATTTGAGCGAAGATATCTCAATAATCTTCAAGCCAAGTTTTAATTCTATGGATTCATAAAATTCAAAGAAAAAAAAAAGTTTAATAAATTTGGCTTTGTGATTGTCAAGGTATTTTTCCACAAAGTTTTAAAAAAACGTCTATCAAAATAGAAGCTGCGCCCAAATTTTTTTCAAGATTTGGGCGAAGATATCTT